CCTGTAAAGTGCAGATGGAGCTGCATGCCTGATTGTACCAAGTGATGCCTACATATTAGCCAGGGTGCTCAGACAGCCTTTGCTTGGTCTTCCCCTGGCAGCCTGCCTGCACCTCAGTGGAGGGTGCTGGAGGCAGAGGCTGGGGGAGAGTCAGAGCACACCATGCCCATGGTCCTTGTAGGGACTGCTCTCTCCAAGGGGCATGGACACAGCCATCTCATCTCTTCTCTTGGGTCCCAGCACTGCCTACAGTATGGAGTGTGAGTCATGGAAAGTGCCAGGGAGAACCTTGCGGACTATCAGCATGCTCAGAAAAAATCTGACAGGACAGAGACAAAATCCTGACCCTTAGAAATGAAACAAAAAGAGCAAGGTTTCCCTTTCCCTGTAACAGAAGGGATCCTCTGTTCTTTGCTGCTCTCCTGCACCTCCATCACCCACTTTGTGACTTGGCGAGTTTCACAATCAAAATCGTGGGGCCTTGAAGAAGCTGTGTCTCCTCCTCTTGTCCCTCCTAGGGCTCTGTGGTGTGCAAAACCATAATACAACCCCAAATGTTATTCTGTAAGTCATTATTAAGTATTCATTTCCTCTTAGTTTGCAACCGAATGTAATCTGGTAATCATTCAGTGACTGCCTGGTTAATAGCTGCTATGCAATTATTAACCTGTAGCCTGGTCATTTGTACATACAGCAGGATAGTCAGGTACCCCTGAAATGTGCTTTGCTATTGTTTTAACCATTTAAATGTCAATCATCTCCTTGATAATTCTGTTAAGGGCATACTGATGTCGCTTTTCAAGGAAGGAACAGAAAGATGCAATATTCTTTTTAGTCATCGTTGTAAATATTGGGTTTAATTCAAATATTGTTTGAATGTGGTTTGGAAAATAAAGTACAAGCTCAGCTGAATGGTGATTTGTAAAGCAGAATGAATGAAACTCTAAAAATATGTGAAAGAACTGATTTCTATTCCACCAAAAGAGATCTTCATTTCAATAGAAGTTTTGCCAGAGTAAAGATTTGTCAAGATTCGGACTCTCATCTTTCTAAAAGCAGTCTTTCTTGAGGGATGTTTTAAGATCTCTGCAGTACAATAGCATAGAACAATGAGAGCCTGATCCGAAACTCATTTAAATCAAAGGAGGTATTTCCATTATTCAAAAGAAGATTATAGAGTGATGTACAGAAAAATATCAGGAATTATTCCATCAGCCTTCACAGGAAAACATTCAGCTGTAAGCATTATTGTTGATGGCAACCATTATGCTTACAGTTCCAAGAACAACAGCTCTTCTTCTTAACACAGTATTAAAACAAGAAACACCTACATTTTCCCTTTTTTTTTTTTCTTGAAGATGGTGGAACTATTACTTCAAAACATTCTGAACAGGACAAAAAGAAGAGATTTTAAAATCTAAATGAATGTCTATAATTCAATCATCTGTTCTTTGCCTGAAACGGTTTTGAAGTGCACTGTGATTTTTATCAAAACTTGTAAAATTCATATAAAATTAACATTTTTATTATTTACTCATAAATATGCAATTGTATTCTTCTTATGGGATGCTTTTAAGAAATAAAATATAAAAATGATACTTTTATTAATAGCTTACGTTTTAGAGCAATGCAGATGGAACTCTATTTGACATTTTAAGACCGTATAGAACTTTAATCTTCATTACATTTTTTAGTACATTTTACAGAAGGTATGACTGATTTTTCCTTTTAAATCAGTGCATTTTAAATCATCTATCCAGATGTTCGGCTTTAAAATAATGTTCAGGGATGGAATTGGTCAGCTGCATAGACATGTGGTCAGTTTTTCTCTTCCTTCTTTCCCCAGAGCTAAACTTTTATTTTCTTAAAGTTACATGTCTAAGTGACCCAGGATTGGACTGCTTTGAGATGCCCATTTTGGCAAACAAGAGACTTGTTTTCCAACTAAGCCAAAAAAAACCCCACCTGTTTTCTGCCAGTCTGCCAGCCTTTGGATTTCTCAAACTAGGTATCCAAAAGCATAAATCCTGTTAAAACTGTAGGCTTAATCCTGGCATTTATGCAATTGAAAGGCTATTTTCATTGCCAAATTGAACTGATGCAGATGCATAAATCTCAAGAGATGGAATAATGATCAGGTAAGGATGTTACTTTTCCAGCTGTCTGTCCATACTGCTAGCAGCAGTTACTGTTCTCCAACAAAGGCAGCAGAACAGGAATTGCTCAGTCCGGCGTACAAGCTTAATCTGCTGCTGAGTCTTGTCTACTGGAGCCGTGTGTCTACAAGTAGTTTGAAACACTGCTTCTAATAAGGAGTGACATTATGCATCATGTTGGAACATTAACTCTGGAATGGGGTGATTATTATTAAAGTTGTGATTGTTCACTGTTCATTGCTAATCTGGATGTTGAAAGTATGTCATACAGATAATATGTACAATATATAGACCATAATAAAATGGTCTGCCTGCCTTATAAGTTTACTTACAAGTGCTTTCTTCTAATCTCTTGTCCAGTGACTTGCAGGAGCGAGGCTTGGGAAAACCCTGCTACTCTGTCTGTTCCACTTCCATTCCCCTTTGCGTGATGCTGCAAGTTCCCAACCTCCTCATTCTCTCCGATTTGCTGAAATAATTATAAAGAACTTATGTTTATGTTCACTATTTCCTTACAGCTCCAGAAACAGCTGTCTGAGTTGGACGAGGATGACTTATGCTATGAATTTCGTCGAGAACGTTTCACCGTCCATCGCACTCACTTGTATTTTCTACATTACGAATATGAGCCTGCTTCAGACAATACTGATGTAACACTGGTGGCTCAGCTTTCAATGGACAGGTAGGGAAAATCTCTTGTAAATTGGGAAGTGTGAGACAATGAATATTTTCATACAGAGAAATCCAACTATGTAATGCTTTGGGGAGAGAGAAAACTCACTTCCCTAGAAACTTCGATGTCATACTGTAAGACCTTTCTGGAATTAGGAGTGACACATGTAGATATCACACATTCATCTAGGCTTCTGCTCTGCAGTGTGTTCACGAGTGCAAGTAGAGTTCCTGAAAGGCTGAATACTGGAACTGCAGGGGTTTTTACTTGTCAGGATTGTCAGGCATTACTAGTTTATGGGGTTTTGCAGCAGCGTAATAAAAACAGATGTTTGTAATAGAATTAGGCAAGCAGTGGTAGCTGACCAAGTATTTCCTCATTAGAAGATGATAGTTTTGCTTTCATTGGCATTTTCCTTGCAGAAAATTTCAATTAGTGATTTTTCTTACACTGAAAATCAAAACTAAACATTTTAGTTTCAAATTGGGAAGTTGAAAATAAAACTTTTTTTTTTTTTAATGAGAAATGACAAATCTTTTTTTGAGAGGAGTCACTGCATTTTTATACAAGCGTTAATTTTCAGAACAACATTTCTAGTTTAACTCCTTTCAACTTCCAGTTCTGATGTAAAGTGGAATTTAACTGGCATTTTGTTTAGAAAAAAAAAATCCATTTTGTGACAAGTGACACCTGCACCTGTCTGATTTCCACTATTGCAATTAGTTGTTTTTCAGAAGCTCTGTAAGTGCAGTCCAGATCAGACAGCTTTGTGAAATTTTGAATTTACAGTCTTCTTTTTCCTCCTGCTTCTCAGTTCAAATATAGTCCAAACTTTGTAGTTAATGCTGTCAGAGTGGGTTACAGAACAGGTCAGAACTCCTTGAATATTAGCCAGAAACTGATATTTCATTTAGCGGAGTACATGCAGAATATAACATGGCCCATGAATACCCTACGGAATATAACCACCCATGAATACTGCTATACCAGTGGAAGGTCAACAGTATTCCAGGAGGGTCAGAGGAATTCAGATCATCAAAACATTTACAGCCTGTTTTAAAAATAAACACGAACGAACTGAGGGCTACTCTTCTACCAGTTTCTCAGCACTGCATCCTGCACGTTGTCTTATGATTTGCTATGCGCATCAGTGTCTGTGCTATTGACTTTGAATTGAGGAAACATTTCTTAAGTGTTCGCAGACCTTTGAGTAAAAAACTAGAGAAATAAATTAAGCCAGACCCTGAGCGAGTGCCACAGTAAATTAGTAAAGCTGGTGTGTGCACATGGTATATTTTCCCCCCAGAATTTAATTCAAAAGAATGAGCTGGGGCTCAGTGCTGATTCACTGGCACTTATGCAAAGTCTGAGCATCTGTTTCCCTTTCTGGATCCTCACTGGGGCACATGTTTTTATTGATAGACAGAACCACACATTTTTATTCAGGAAGAACAGCCCTCCTGATACTGTGCAGGAAAAATCTTCCCTACTTCGTTGGTGTGTTGCTATAAATTATTGATTTGAGTTGGAAATACTTACTTTCAGCTAAAATCAATAAATAATATCATACCAAAGAACTGTTTAGCTGCTTTGTTTTCTTTCACATCTTTCAGTTCCTGCCTTACTTTTTTTGTATCTTCTTTAAACCACTTTTATTAAATTCCTCCAGTGTAGCTGTAGACATTTAAGAATAGTGTCTCAGATGTAAGATGACATATAGATAAACAATGTGCTATACGCTACATTCCTGCATCGTCTTTTCAAATGATGATCCAAGATGAGGAAAGATAAAAAAGCACGACTCCTGGTGTCTTCCAGTTATAGTCCTGCTGGAGTTGAGACTAACCTTCTGTTGTGACAGGCTTATATTTGCCTGTGCTATAGACTTGGGGAATAGGAGAGAGGCATGCAGTCTAAGAGCTAGCGTCAATGTCTTTAGATAGAAGCTCTGAGACAGACTTCATCCAGTGTTGTTCATTATTGGTTAACTGTCACCTTTTATGCCGATGTGACATTTTCTTGGATAATGGCTTGGTTTCATCCCTGTTGTTTTAATGCAAGTGTTTTGGTTAGGCAACCTTTTAATGGTACGTACCTGAGGTTCAGAAATCACAGTAGGAGTTACAAAAATGTGAGATCAGGATGTGGACAAATAAAAACAGGATAAGCATTACACTGATTGGTGTCTGGGTGAGAATGAGTTCTAAGTTGATTGAGTATTCTTAAGAAGAAAAGTGAAAACAAATAATCTCACAGAACTATTGAATTCCAGCAAAATTCTCTTGACTGAAGCAGACCTTTTAAAAAAATTTGCCAACTAAAGGATGGCATCATTATTATGCAGCACAGGAGTATATTTATTTTTTCCAGAGTCCTTAAGAGAATGCAATCCTCGAGACCACTAACAAAAACAAAATAACATGGTCATGTCTTGCCTAGAAACTTGTAATTTTAAGTTTTATGGTCAAAGGAGACTATTGTGGCAACCTGCAGAGATTAGGTTATGGAGCATCCCCCAGCAGTCCCTGTATCAAACTCGTGGAAGTGGAGCCTGCCAGTGAGAACGATGCAGCAAAAAGGACTATTCTAAAGGGCGTTGAGCTGTCCAGCTGGAAATTTATACCAGCAAAACCTGGTTCCCACTTAACTGCCATGAAAAGCTTTGCAGGCTTTATCAGGTGTACCATTTAAATAAGTTATGTATGCCATTTGTCCACTGCTTGGAGTCCTTGAAAGGCATTTTGCTGCATTTTTTGATAGGCAAATATTCAATTTTTAAAAGGCTGCCCTAAATTGGAATGCTGATGAATTGGAGTCTCCTGATTAATAGATTTCCACTATGTTGGAAAAAGGAAGGGGAAAAAAAAAAGAAAAGTATTTCTCTCTATTTACTATTTGTACAATCAAAAGCCTAAAGCCTTTGCATACTTTTTAGATCTTTTTAATCAATTTGTGTTTATAATTCGGCTGTATGTTTCAGGCTGATAATATCCTTGTTTCAATAACAGATAAAAAGAAAATAATGCATCAGGTGTAGACTAGTAAAGGTAATATCTCATACCTAAGAAAAAATGATTATATCATCTTAGATGTCATCACAATCATTCAGAAAGGCAGGAAAAAGCTATTACTGTTAAATCAGAATGTGTGTTTGCTGGTATGAGTATATCATTCCTTTCTACTGCAAAGCTTAGGGATATAGTAGGAGGGGGAAATTATTTCTCTGATTATGATGATGCAGAAAACTTTTCTTGTGTTCTATATAAATATTAATAGGGAAAATCTAGTAATGCGGATTTGGAAGGGAGAGAAGATAATCATGTTGCATAGTCTACTCTTCCTAATTTTTAATAGAATATCTGGCTAGGCTACATAGGTCATTTCCCTTTGTATTAACTCAAGAGGCTTTGTAATCAGTCCTGCTGTATTTTTGGGTGGCACGTCTTAATCTCTAGGCAATTCTCTATAAATTACCCAAAGTGCTTAAGCGATTTTGACCATGCTGGGTTTGATTTACGTTTGTGTATGAGATCTTTTGTTGTCATTTTCATCAATAGTATTGTAACTGCTGGAAGTTTTTAAAAATATACATCAATGCAACCTGTTTTAAAAATTATTTAGTGAAATTTGAGATACTACTAAAACATATGTACATTAGTACTTTAAATTATGGTTTTGTTTGAAATGCTCTTTCGATATTCCACAACAATGCTGTGTCTCTCTCATCTCTCCTTACTCCCTACACATGGTAAATCCCATTTCTATTGATGTGTCATCCTTTTGCCCTTTCCCTGACAGTGACTTTTCTTCCAGTCAATGCAAATGTTCATATAAGTCAGTATTCCCTTGACCCACCACTTTTAACAGCTTTTAAGGTCTGACTAACTGCCTTGCAAAAATTTGGGGAAGGTTTTCATAAACAGGAGGTTAAATGATCTATGGTTCTGTACACCTTTCTCCTCCATGAGCTTGTTGAAGAGCACTGTATTACATTAGTGTGTGAGAGTAGCATGACCTGAAGTGTGAGTTGGGCACTCCACACTGTTTAACGTTACAAGACCCCTATCCTGTAAGTAGATCCACATGGACAGATCCCCACCCCCCCGCCACCCCATGGGGGGTTTTCCTGCAGCATCAGTGCTTTAGGCAGAAAGAATGGTGTTGATTTCACCTAACTTCATGTACCTTAGTTGTGGATGTGTGTATTTGAGCTCAGGCTGTTTTAGGCTCCCTTGTATTTAGTGGAGAGAAGTAGGCATATCTAGGGTGCAGTCCACCTATCCAGAAAGAGACATCAACTTAGATGAGATGAATTGTGCTGTAGAAATATTTATTGCTTTTCATAGCCTATAAGGTGACCTCAATCTGTTTTACTTAGAGACAGATATCTGCATTTGATCAGATGAACCCAGGCAAAGAGTCCCAGACAGGGAGACAGCCCTTTCTTATTCTCACCCTTTCTCTTTCAGGCTCCAGATGCTTGAAGCCATCTGCAAACACTGGGAAGGTCCAATCAGTTTGGCACTCTATCTTTCTGATGCAGAAGCTCAGCAATTTCTGCGCTACGCCCAGGGCTCAGAAGTACTTATGAGCCGCCACAATGTCGGCTACCATATTGTGTACAAGGAGGGACAGTTCTATCCTGTGAATCTGCTAAGGAATGTGGCCATGAAGCATATCAGCACACCATACATGTTTCTGTCTGACATTGACTTCTTACCCATGTATGGACTCTACGAGTACCTCAGGTAAATGAACAGTGGAGGGATTCCCACTGTCACCTGCGTTTTCAGCCCCTCCACACCCCACCCTTCTCACATATTCCCAAAACAATGCAGTTTGAGCAAATCTGAAAAAGGCAGCTTATAGATGCTTAAGGTGTGACAATGCCCAGCAAGGCACAAGAATTTTTAGGGTAGAAGGGGCGGTAACTGGAAGTAAAGCAACACAGTTATGAAACAAAAAACTCAGGTCTAAATGTAAGCCCTGTTAGCCATTAGAATAATGCCCTCAAAGCAGCAGAAGAATCAATTTGAAAATTAAATTGGGCTAAGTATGTACAAGAGCATCCTGTATTAGCAGAGATGTGAACTGGATGATTTCCCTGAACATCCCTTGTTCTTAATGTCAGTGACAGGAAAAACATGCAAAGCATTACGGAACTTGTTGTCCATGTGACATACTCTTAATCCAGTTCTGTGTCTTGAAAAGAGAGTGGTAGTCTAACCAGCTCGAAAATCTGACTGCAATGCCAGCACCTGTCAGGGCAAAATAATTAGCATAAGGAAACTGGGAAGAGTAACCTCAGTGTGTACTGTGTCATAATGAATGTGAGCAGGTTGGGCTGAGCAAACTACAGACCTCTGATCCATTAGCTGAGTTTTTTTAAATAAAGACCTTTTCCCCCTGCAGAGGCTTGTGGTCATCTGAGGCCAAAGCGTAGAGCAAGGAGGACACCCGGTGGCCAGAAAGGAGGATTTCAGTTCCCTAGTCCTGACCAGTTTTGCTTTTCATCTTTGTTCTGATTTGGTAAAAGTTGATCAAAGTGTTCCAGTGAGGGTCTGCCTATGGGTGATACCTTTCAGTCTGCGGGTTTTGGAGTGTAAAGGGAAATATAGCTTCCAGTAATGTAAACTTATGGAGGAGTTGCTTTGTTTCAGGTTTAACAACTCAGTAAGCATCTTCTCACTTCTCCCTCATGTGGAGATTTAATTGCCTTTTTCAATTTCTGCATCCATGTATGGGGCCAAATTCACTATGACTTTTAAGACACTGGATTTCAATAATACCATTGAAGTTTTATTGTACTGTGTCAGCTTGTTTACCACTTGTTTTAGGGATATTTCTTTTTGACTTGTGCTGTGAGGACTCCAAAATAAGTCTATCCCTTGCACACATTAGCTGTTTCAAGATACGTGTCGAGACAGTTGTTAGCTTTTCCGTTCTTTGACATTAGTGTTGTGTACTGTTACATTTCTTCAGATCAATGCTGAACACAGTAAGGATAACAGCTGTTGATACTGGCATGTAGTACTAAAAAAAGCAACTTGTTCCTCCATGCTGCTTCGCCATGCACTGATGGGAGCCAGCACTGAAAGGAAGAAGAGAGAAGACAGAATGAGATACCACAACATACTTAAGATATTACACAGAAATAGTTCTCGTATGGTGGTAATGTTTTATAGGACTAAATGCACAGCAGTGCCACCCATTGGTGCTGTTTCAGAAAAACACCAAATTTGCACTGCATGCTGTTGGATCTAAGACCTTGTGTTACTCATCCAGCCTTTTGTGAGGCCAATACCACCTTAACTCTGACTGTGGATCTGTTACCTGGGAATATCAAAAATGCTAATCTGCTACTACCAGCTCTTTAAAAGGATTGTATTTTTTTGTATGTGGACTAGAGGCTTTTGTTGCTTTTTCAATAACGATTTTTCTAAGCAAAAGAGCAGGGAGGTGCAGTGAGATTATTTTAAATACAGATACCCTTATATCTTTCTGCATTGACTGTTCCCACTGCCTTTGCAAGTAGCTGATTAGTGTTATCAATCTCAATGGCAGCAATTGTTTGTTAGAGACATACAAACATTTTCATCTTCATTTCCTCAGGTAGAACAACCATAAGCAAATAGAAATAGTGTGGTGTTTCAGGCCTTGCTTTGTACAGGATGAGCCAGACAAGTCCCTCTCACTTCGAGTTTGCTGATTTACATATATTGTATATTGTGTCTCTACAGAAAATATATATTCTCAGAAAGAAAGGAATTTTGGAAAACATTTTCAGCATATTTTGAAGGTAGTGTATGTGAAAGGTTATGGCCAGTTTTCAAGGAGAAGCTGATGGAGCTTATGGTTACCTGTTCCTCTAGGTATCTGTTTGCTAGCACTTAGATTTGTGCTAATTGAGCTTTTTCACAGCTACTAAGACCATTTCAGTGCTTTTAATCTCCAACAACTCCCCTTTTTTGTCCTACCTTTATCTTCTGTGCAGTACAAAAGGAAAGAAATGTAGCATTTAAAGATTTCCTGTTTACAACACTTCCATGGCCTGTGCTGAGCTGAAGTCTTTTGTCACCTTCCCTCATTAGTTCCTGAGGTCATCTTGTCATTGCCCCAGAGGTAAAGGGTCTTTCTGTCTGCTACAAGTAAGGTGTGTGGGTCATCCTAAAGGTTCTTCTAACATAAAATAACTGACAGACTACTTATCTACAGTTGTCACAGCTAGCACTAAAGTTATTTCCTGACACATTTGTGTAAAATATGCCCTTTGCTTCCAGTGACACATTTAGCATGGGACATGGCATCCAAGCTCTGTCCACAGGTTTTATACCTGCCCCCTGCAACATGAGTTGTGAAGTATTTCTGGTTGTTCTTCAGCATCTCAGCAAGAGACACGCTTCATGTTGTGCCTATTGTTTTTTATTTGTTGGATGCTTTTGTAGGCTCTGCATTCATTGCTTTTGCAGAGAAGAAGAACATTCTAATGAATTTAACAGTGGACTGTCAACTCTCCAGTTCTTACCACAAACTCTGTGACTGCCATATTCATCGGTCTTGATCTAACCATTTACGATAGTGGAAGCTAATTTGAATTAATGGACTGATTTTTTTCTTTTTTTTTCTGAACTCAGTGCTTTAGGATTAGGTTGCTAACTTCTCTGTGTCTGAGCTTCTCTATCCTCCAGAAATGGGAATGATACTGCTATCTCCCCTCATGAGGATGAGGATTCTGTGGTAATTTTTAGAAAGGACTATGGAGATTAAAAGATTGATATCAACATGCTGGAGTTCATTCAACCTGTGAGGGGACTTTTGTGATTTAAGATTCATTTCTTCCATGCTTTGCGAAAAATAAGGTTCATTAGTAGATTTAGAAACTTAATCCAACCTTCACTGTGTCAGAATGACACACATCAGGTCTGAACACAAAGATGCCTGGGAAACGGTTTCCTGGACAACACTAGCAAAGAGAAAGCTCTTCATAAAATCATATATCCTTATTTTGGGGCTTGCGGAAAAGGACAGATAAAGGAAAATTGGTACTAAAGTGATATTACTGAATGAAAAAAATCAGCCCTCATAAGGATAGTGCAGGAATTAAACAGTTAACCCAATCCTAGGTTGCAAAATAACCAAATGTATTCCTTACATTATATTCCACATATCTTACAGCACCGACAGTGAAAATTTTCCTATTCTGAGTATCACAGAACTAGTCAACCAGCAAATGGCACCTCCACTCAAAACAGGGAAAAAAGTCAACCCAATAGAAAAGGAAAGCAGATTTGCTTCCAGTAGGAAGAGGTCCAAGGAGGAGACCACCAGCCAAGTTACCAGAAGAAACCAGATGGTATTTTTTTCTCTACCAAACTCTCGCTGCCTTTATTACAATTACCATGGTCTCTGTTGTCCTTTGACACTCAGGCTTAACATCTGGATGTCAGCACTGATTCCTTCTTCCTTTTACATTGTCTTTTATGCCATCTAGTCCACATCAGAGGCAGGCTATTCTACTCAGAGGTCAGTACTGCTGAACTTCTTGACTGTGTCTCAACTCCCAGCTCAGTTTTGGTGAACCCCTCCACTTTGGGTGAACTCCCTTAACAATAGGCACCTCAAATGCTCACATATCTCTTGAAAATATTTCTGCAGAGATTACCCCACTATGTTATTTCACTCTTGAGGTACCTCCACTACTTCCTGTTAGACTGCATCCACTACAAGCATCTTGTTTTCAGACCTTTGCTTTTCTCCACTCACCTAATTTTTCATATTGATCTTTGATGGTGCAAGTGATTTCAGCCAACAGTTTTGCCATTGACACCTATATTAAATTTGCAGATGACAAGAGCAGGGAGTATGCAGAAAGGATTATTGATACCGACATAATTTTTGTGCTTGTATCCCATATCTTAGAAAATGAGACACATTCAACACTAGGTTCAACACAGCTTGCTCTGTCTGACATTCTCTGCTGTTACCCTTGCTTGATACCTATACCTACTTCAACTTTGTTCAACTTCAGACTGTGAACTTCAGTGGGCAGATTGTCTCCTACTCTTTGACAGTGCCAAGCACAGCAAGGCCTTGATTTTTGCCTGGGACTTCTGAGGCAAAAGATAGGAACAGCCATAAATGGAAGCTGCTGTGGCCTTGCAGAGCCCAAAGGGTGAGCATCACTGCAAATGTTACCTACTCCTTCCTAGAACTGAATCTCCAGTGCTGCACCACACAAGGCTGATAGATTGCAGGGTCCAGAAGTCCCGAGATGTTGTCAGAGAAACTTTGTTAGTGTGCCCTTCTTGCAAAGAAGATGTCAAAGGGAAGAAACGTTAAGAGTGTCCTAAAGAAAGGCACTGCTCAGTGATTTTGGAAGGTCGTGGAGGTTGATTGTGAAGGAGTCATCTATGTACGTGCAGGTATCTTGGCCACTGGTGATGGTGAGGGAAAAGCTAGTGAGGAAAATATTTAAAAGTTATAATAAGATACTGTTAAAATATTCAGCTGTGAAAAGTTCACTGGAATGTGGCAGGGCTTCTTTAAACAATGCAAACTTTGCAGCAAGATGTTGAGAACAAATTTCTCTTTATAGAACAGGCCTATAGGGTAGTGTGGATTCTCTAAAATTCAGATTTTATTAAATAGCTCTGCTCTTTTTCTTTTTCTCTTTCTCTGATGGCAATATAAATGAATTCTAGGTATTCTGGGCCTAGAAAAGTGGTTTATTTGGTCCTTCTGTTATTATGACAGTGATCCCAATTCCTTCATCTTATAAGGCTGTAGGGAATTTGCTGCTTGTCAACATTGTCCTTGATTGCTTGTTGCAGGAACATAAAAGTCAGGACAGTGAATCCTGTTAAGGGGAACTGACTTTGACAGGGGAGAGAGAGGCATATTTCTCATATGAAATATGAAGATAATGAAAGGAAAATCGAGACAGAGTTATTTCTGGTGACAAGCATAGTAAGATTCAGTTTGAGGATGGAAAAGTAACTTCTTTTTCTTTGTATTTTAGTTTGTTAGGAAAGAATAGACTGAATACTTCTGGCAGGCAGGGTGTAAGGTTGCGAAGCTGTTGCTCTCCTGTACCACTCATCCTAAGACCCTTGTCTGGAGAAGGGCCCTACTGCACAAAGTGCATAATGTGCACACACATGCACACGCTCACACACCAAAACAGCCTCTGCACTGGACAACTTGCAGCAAAAGAAGGCAAAAAGCAAGGTATCTCGCCACATCCTGTGCACAGCTCTTCTCTTCAAGTAACCGCCTCTTTGCCCTATGTACAGATCTAAGCAAAATTGAGCTCTGATCTCTGGGAACTACCATGCATGTGATTAACAACACTCAAAAAGCTATTGCTAATGTACGGATTTGCACCATGTACTCTTGCATGTAGATCTGTGCCTTGCTTTGAACAAAGACCAACCAACATGGCAACAGTGTTCTTGAGGGCAAATATCTGGTCCATAGTGGTGTTAAGGGAACACTCACCTTGCAGGAAACACAGAGCTCTAAAGCAGAGGTAAAAAGCAAGTAAGAAGGCACAGTATACTACACAGAGAATAGCTAGACTGAAATACAACCAAACTTTCCAGCTCACCTTCTGAAGTCCCAGTGAGTCCTGGATAAATCCCGTTTTTTTTAGAACTACCATTGACTGGGCAGCTCTTTCCTGTATATGTAGTAACATTCAACTATGTTTCTCCTAAAGGGGCGGTCAGTTGGCTGTGCTCAGGGTGCTGGTTCAGCTCTGTGCACCCCTGGACACGCAGGGCAGCACTGATCAGTCAAACACACAAGCTCTTTTTGAACTGTGGTGTTCCTCTTAGAGCAGCAGATCAAAAGTCAAGGGAAATATGAAGTGCCCCTGGGAAAAAATATGGGCCATAGTTACATTTACAGTATCAAACCGCACATTCTCTGCTCTTTATTTTGAAAAGCCAAGTGATCTGCTCAGTTTAAAATTTTCCTGCTTGTATTTGTTGTTTTTCTTTGCCAGGAAGTCTGTCATCCAGCTAGACCTGGCTAACACCAAGAAAGCTCTGATTGTACCTGCTTTTGAGACCCTACGCTACCGCCTCTCCTTCCCCAAGTCAAAAGCAGAGCTGCTGTCTATGTTGGACATGGGAACCCTCTTCACATTCAGGTAATGGAAAGTACTTTTGTTAAATCTGTGGTAATTATCTCTAAAGATTTCTATGATGTTCTTGTGAATGTTTGATTTTTCTCTCACTGTCAGCTAGCTATCTCTAATGGAGAAACCTATTGGAATTTTTTTTCCCTTTCCATAGAGAGGCAGTGAACAGAATCATATGTGGATATATTCCATCTGTAAGCTCAGCATTTTATCTAGTATTATAGTCCTCTACTGAAGGACTTCAGTTGTTAAATTGAATTTGTTTTATTTTCATCATTTTTTATTGCGCTACAAAATCAAGTGTGACCATTACATTAATGTGCATGTAATTTGCTTTTTGGCTGCTGAATACTATCCGAATAGCTGTGGCCCTCGTGTGACCAAAAATAATTTCTCTCTGCTCATTGGTTCACTTCCTTACTGACTTACTGGAAAAACAAATGCAGGTTTGCTCTTTTAAAGTGTGAAAGAGCTGCTTAAATAGCTAGAGTTTCTCAATGCAGAGGTAAATCTGACTAGAAGTTAAGATGCAAAGAACACCTACATTTGGAGCTCCTCTCTGAAGCAGACTCCTTCTGTGGCTGTGAACAAGTCACTTCTATTATCTGCCAGACTCTTCAGTTTCAAAATGCAACTAGCAGAGGTTAACGGTCTCTTGGGTGTGTATGGTAAGGTCTGATTAGCAGACATTTGTAAAGCATCACAGTGATGGGAAGAGCACAATATGGCCTTACAATATTGGCCAGAGAGGAGGGTTAGGAGACCTGCATTCTCTTCTGAACTCCACTTTTGCCCTGCAAAGATGGTATGCAAATCAGTTCACTTACATCTCTGTTCTCTATCTCTGAAATGCAGGTAACAATGTCACCTCTCCTTTTTACAATATTTTGGGATCTAGAGATAAAACAATTAAAAGGCTAGGTATTATCCATGGCCAGTGGAGCTCTGTATCACCTCTCCCATCCTTCCCTTACTTTAGAGCTTTCCTCACACTTCTGTTCCCTGTATTACACACCTCTCTTTGCAGCAGCCACCCTTCCCTCGTGGCTGCATGCACATGCCATAGCAGGCACCCTGTGTGAACCTGGAAAACGTAATTCTGACACTACTTCTGCCAGTGACTGCCTTCAAATAGAAACTTGAGGTGACTGAGAGGGGTATGCCTCTCTCTGGAAAATTACTTAAGGGTACTGATAAAGCAAGTGCCTTTCAGTCTCCCATCATTCTTTACCAGTCAAAGACATACAAATTAACAAGAGATTTGTTGGTAGGAAATAATTATTTCTCCCATAGTTGAAAGAAAAAATCCTTCCAGTGGAAAATAACACCCTCAGGATTTTCAGATGTTACATCCCACCAACGATCAAATTTTCAGCTTGCACAGCAGTGGCCTTCCACTACAGATTTCATCTTCAAGCTATACAGCATGTTGGCATATTATTACGTACACAGCCAGATTTGCAGATGCTTTCTCAAGCCTCACTCAGGCACAAATCTCTTTAACATCAGTGGGAGTTTTGCCAGAGCAAGGTTAAATAAGAATTGAAGGACATGCAGTGTGTAGCTGGTGTACATATTAATGTAGGACACATTTTATAAATGCTTCCCCAGTTAGTTTTGGCTCATTTCATTGTTCAACTCTATCAACAGCCACAAAGCGTCTGTGATCTGGGCTGAGAATTTCCACCTCTACCTTCAAGGTGTTTTAATAACACTGCAATTTGGGGCTGAACGGGTGGGAGTGAGCTGGGGAGGACTGCTGTGACAGTGATTGCTGAGAGTGCCTGCAGCATCCCAGTGCTTCACACCACATGGTAGATTACACTCTTTACCTCATTGAAATTGCTTTTGTCACCTCTTTTCCAAATGGTGACCTCTTCTACCTCTGGGCAGCTAAGAAGTACAAAATGGCTCTCAATTACATCCCCCAGTCACCACCAGAAGAAAAGAGGAGACATATGAGCATCGAGGGCTGGCAAGATGTGCTGTGTGGAAACCCTCCACGGCAGTGGATTGCTCTGTGCCAGCTTGCTGGCTTTGTTTGCAGGTGCTGCCTGTGACTGTGCCTCATGAGGATGTGCCAGCTTGGTGCCTGGGTAATAGCTGATGAACCACAAATGTGTTGCCGGCACAGCTTGCAGGCACAAGGAAAACCACAGCTGGTAGAAGACGCATCATATTGAGAAAACATAACCAGCAACAACTGATTAACTAATGAACTGATTGCATCCACAAGCCAGCAAAATGTTTAAGGATCTGAGAACAGAACCAGGAAAGCTTTTCTTTCACCAAACCATCTTTCTCAGTGAAGGGGAAAGCTTTGAGGGACAAGGCAGGGAGGAAGAAGACTCTGAGAATGATGATTTAATTTTGCTAACTTTAGGAAAGTTTATTATAGTTTTGAAATTTTATTTTACATAAAAGCAATCAATAATGAAAGTGAGATGAAACATTTGACCCAAAGCAGGGGGTTTTGTGCAGTTGTTTTCCATGAACTGTGGGAAAGAAACTCATCACCAGTTTACGGAGATCAAATTACTTGGTTTTAATTTGTCAAAATTTCCAGTGTGGTGAAAAATACAGTGTTCACAATTTTCACAAAGTTCTCCTGGGAGTCAGTGAGATTGAGTGTGGCCTTGAAGTTCAATGTGTATTTAAATCTTGAGTGAGAAGGGCCTGAGCAGGAAAATTTGATTTATTCATTTGTCCTGTGAGATGGAAGACCAATACAGACAGTGAACCACTTCTTGCAGCCATGTCACCGAGAGTAAAGTTTCTTGGAAATGACTCACTCTTTTGTGGTAACTTCCTCTATATGGACATCTATGTAATGGACATCTATGTCTGCATATCTTACTTTACAGTACATTTTATGTGATGATCAGTCATTGGCCAAGACCTAGCTGCCGTAGATTATATGTGTGTGAATATATATATACACACATATATGTAGACCCATATATATTGTATGTACAGATACATATGTAATCCTGAACTCTCACAATTCTTGTTTCCAGTCTGATTATTCCTCTATCAGTGTGAGCACACCTTGTTTGGTCATCTGCACTCATTTTCCTCTTTGTCCTGACCTTAGCCATACTTTTGTCTTTCTCTTGCACTCCACTCACATCAGTCACTCTAAAGAGGCAAGTAGATAATTTGTGGTATTATTTTGTTTGGTGCAATCAGGTCTGTTCCTTCCTTTCTGCTCTGCTTTTTCTCTCCAGCCGCACTTCCATATTTTCCCTTCCTTGTCTCTTCCCCATTTTTTTTTCCTGCTGGTCATCTGTCTTAACTCACAGAGGTTATACCTGAGTTGCTGTAACTGCTTACACTGTTTGAATCAGTGGGAGAGTGTTACTAGAATAGCAGCAGCGTTTGACTGCTTCTCTGCAGGAATCTCTCAATTAACTAAAGTTTGTATGGGGCTTTGATGATACAAATCACTTCATAAGTCTTTAGTAGTCATTATTATCATAATTAATTTCAAAATGCCAGAGGTAAGATGTTAGAAGATACAGCATCCTCTGCAATCCCCTATCATTTTAAACCCCACATTGTGATTTTTGCTTTTTTCCAGCATGGATAGTTGCCCATTAGTGGCTGGGTAGGTTACCAACTCATTTCCGAAAGAGACTAAGTAAAGGGATAGGCCTTTTGGAGATGATTCCAAAGGGCATTAAGGATTGTAAGCATCTTTGTGAATCTGGCTCTGGTTTCTAATAAACTCTAGAGAATTAATTCACTGTCAGTTTTTTTAATACGGAAGGGCTTTGCTTTTCCAGGTCCCCAAGCCAGATGTCTGAAAGTGATGCAACCTATTTACGGTTTAGAAATGCAGCCTTCAAAGGACCATAGGTTACTTGGGTCCCCAGTGCTATCCTAATAATTCTGTCTTCCTGCACTACCTCTGAACAAGGAGAGTCAGTGAAGCTGAACACCTCTCTGTTTTTTCCAGTTATAAGCCATACAAATACGCAGTCCAAGTGGAAACTCCTAGGTTGTGATTTTATGTCCTGTTGTTAGCAATGGCTTGCAATGTTACAAGAATTTCTGGGGTTAAAACATTACCTTAGTTTCTAATTCTGCAAATATTTAATGCTTAAATCCCTTTACTTTAGCACATGAGTCATACCTGTGAATTCAATGTACCTTACATTACAAACTGGCAGGATATTTGTTTTGCCCCTTCTGTTACACATCGCAGAGTGTTGTAATACAGGTGGCCTGCTATGCCTTTGTTTCATTATTTAATCTATGAGTCTGCTGAAAGAGCCTGTCGCATTGATTTTTGGAAAGGTGTAAGAAGAATAAGTGGGCGAGAGAGTCACTGACCCTGGCACTAATAGGGTGGATTCAAGCTGCGCTTGGAGGGGACCTGCTGTGACCTAAACAAGATTAACGAAATATAAAAGGATCTTTTTCTGTAAATCAAATTGATTACCTTACTCAGGATCACATGGGTACTACCCACAATGTAGAAAGTAGAGCAGAAAGCCTTTATGTTTTATTTTACTTATTAATTTAATTATGCGCCTTGGCTTCTGCTGTAGTAATAACAGTGATTAGTAAAACAGAACATCTCTCCAAAGCTGCAGGTGTCTCTTATACAAATTATAAAATTGCATATAAAACAGATCGTGAATGTTGCTGTGGTGTAGAAATAGCTAATTTTAGGGACCTTATCTGAGCTACAGAATTTCACACCAATTTTAGAGCACTGATACAGCTGCTTTGTTGCTAAGAATGAGACACAGCACTTTGTAGTGCAGATGAACTGTCTGTGTACTTTGTAATTGTTTCTCACATTAGCATTAGGTAGTGTTTTCACACTATTCTTCACCAACTAGATGTGTTTAAGCGTTGAGCACATAGAGGCTCTGGGAAGCGCGCTGGAAATAGTCCTAGAAATTGCCTCCAACGTGTCCTGAAAATGATGATGTGAACTGTATGCTAATGTCCTTATTTTTGAGCATTTCATCTAACAAGTAACACTTTGTTGCTTCGCCAAGATGCATTCTGTCCAAATGCCTCTCCACGTCCATGCCATTTATGTCTGTTTAAGGTATCATGTCTGGACGAAAGGGCATGCGCCAACGAACTTTGCCAAGTGGCGAACAGCCACCACCCCTTACCACGTCGAGTGGGAAGCAGACTTTGAACCATACGTTGTTGTGAGGAAAGACTGCCCAGAGTATGACAGACGGTTTGTTGGATTTGGCTGGAACAAAGTAGCTCATATCATGGAACTGGATGCACAGGTGAGGAGACAATGACTGCTCATCTCACCCAGGGCTGGGCAGCAGGGTTGTTAAACAAATCTGTGTTCTATAGAAAGTCTTCAGGCTTTGCATCGCAAAGTGCTCATTTGGCCTTACTGTGCTCCTTAATGAGTGCTTCTCTAGGTGGGAACACTCAGTTTAGTCCCTGTCAAGCGTTAAAAGGAGAACTGAGTCTGAGTTAGTTTATTTGTCAGTGCTGAGAAAGTTGTTGTCTCACAGTGGCACAATCCTTCAGTGCCCACCTCCTGTCCAAAGCGCGCCTGAACATTGCAGCATTTGTTGCCAGTCTCATCACCTCCTAGGGGATCTATAGACCTAGCTGGAAGTTCTTCAGTTCAGCAGAAGTTGGTGAGTTCCAAATGGTAATTTAGAATGCAAAAAACAATCTTAAGTTGAATCCAAGGCAAGCATCTTCAAATTTTGGCCTGAATGTACAGCACATCTCTGCAAAGCCAAGGACTTTACATTTCCAGTCTCTGACTGTGGAGCAGACTCTAGAGGGTCCAGGTACTTGATCCTTGGGCTACCTGCCTCTTGGATCTGTGACTTGGGATGGAGCTGCTGGGCAGAATATACAAAAATAAGGATGCAGAGAGGGCTCGAGAGTCCCAGACTGGCACTAGAGCTCTCAGAGCTGCCAAGATCCCTGCCACCGGCCTAGATCTTAGAGGCTGACAGTGACTGTGGCTCCATAGGAGTCTAGTGCTGCTGCTCACTGAAAAGGCAGAGTTTGCTTCTCCCTGCTGTTCTTGGATGTGAAGCTAACCACTGTGCTAATCAGCTCAGTCTGGGTCATGGTTTTTTTTCTTATTTTGAATTTGCTGGAAATTATTTTTTTTTTAGTTTGGTTTCAGTCCCAGTTTTTGAACTAGTAGTTCATGCTAGCCAAAAAAACGTGCTTTTTGGCCATCTCTATCTTCCGATGCTAGCTTCTGCTATGGATCTGGAATATAGCTGATGCTTCTCTGCCCTCCTCTTACCAGTTTACCTGAAGCAGAGTAGCACAAGGCAAGCAGTAAGTTACTGGGAGATGGTGTCTCTGGGGTGTGGGCTACAGTGTATTTGTGTGCAGGTACATGAGTGGGAGGGATATTTTCTACTTCTGCTTACAAAATCACGCTGTCACCTTGGGCTGGCAGCCACTTGCCTTCTGTTTGCAAAGGGCATTCCCAACAAATTTGTACCTATTTCTATTGAGATAAAATTATTACAGACTAGAAAAAAAATGTCCCTTATATTATCGTTAATAATAATACTTTGCTCCGCTGTAGCACTTTAATTTTCTAGTGCACTTTCCAAGCACTAATCAATTAACCATCAGTTGTGGAGAATGCCAGTGTAATGATTTATTATTTTTTAATCTGGGTAACGGGTCTTATGCCCTCACTGGCAGCTCTCATCTAGCGCTCACAATTTAGCTGTTCTGTCCAGAGACGTTTGCCCAGCATACAGATTCACACATGGGAAATGGCAACATTTTTCAAAGTTGAACGCAGTGCAGATATTTTAAACAGCCATTGGGTTGGAACTAACTCTGGGGAATTCTTTTTCTCACTCTCACAGCCTTAAAAATATTCTCACATTGAAAAGAAGTTTAGTTTTCATCTGTAGCAACATGGGTATTGGCCTGTTCTCTCACAAAACCAGCCTGGAGGGGACGTGGGATCGCACAGCTACCTCCCCCTATGGCATTCCTCTGCTTCAGGGTGTCCACAGATCAGGTTGCTGCCAGCTGCTTGCCTGTCTTCCTTACCAGCAGGCAGAGCAACTTCTCAATTGAATTATTTCACTGCTCCTCACAGCTGCAGTGTCTGTCAAGAGAAATGTTTCAGACTCCTTACCAAGGGCCTGTGCCATTACCATCCTTCAGAGCAGCACACCGCATGGAGATAATTGTTATTGTTATTCTGGGGGCATGCAGATGTCCACTGAGCTGGATGCTGTACAAATACATAGATAATGACAGTCTCTGTCTAAAGCATTTATAACCCATGAGGTAGGGACAGAGGCTCCTGCATTGCTTTCTCAACAGACATTTCCTTATAGTAGAGATGGGCCATTAGGAAACCTTTTCCTGATCTTCCATTGACTGTGGAACTAGACTGTGAGCAATCCTTTTTCCAGGACCCCAGCCCAGCATCTTTCAAAGGGGCTTATTAGCAGCAGACTAAGTTAGTGAGTTTTTGGAATGCTTTATGTGCCTGAAGGCCTTTCAGAAGGATGGGAGCACTGCTGTGCTGAACAGCTTACACTGCAGAGCATAGACAGTCCCTGACCTGCAGGATTACAAACTTGAGATGGAAACAGAGAACAAAGAAGAGATTGTATGCAGCTTCAGCCTTTAGTTTTAAGGTCCCATGGAGACATATTTAGTTTGTAGTTTATTGGCTCTCCTCACTCCATCATGCCAGCCTTTTTTTTTTTTTTTTTTTTTTTGCATTTGGTTCCCCATTAGTTCTAAGTCTCTTCCAGCTCAATGAGTTCTGCCTGTGAGCATGAGATTATTTTGCTCTTGCTATACATTTGTCACCCCAAACAGAAGCTCAGAGGAGCCCATTCCTTTATATGACAGCATTGTAATTTGGCATAAAGATTTACCACTTTAGCACTGTGTGGCAGGGAACAGGCATTCGCATAATGAGAAAGGAGTAGCCATACACTGCATCTGTGCCTGGCTATCCAGCACATGCTACTGTTTCACAGGTGTCCCTGGGACAGCACTGCAGCCTTAGCTGCACTTTGAGCTCACCAATACCACTGCCTGAGTTGGGTAATGGATCCACACTGCATTCTGCTCACTTCTTTCCATTTTATTTGGGCTTAATTTTGCATTGTGTTGCTCAAGCGTTTGGTTTCTAGTAGCATCATAACCCAGCAGTTTTCAGTCTTTTCAAGACTGATTATATGTTGTTAGGTGAGGAAAGATTTATAAGCGAAGCACTCACGTTTATTGGCACAAGTGTGTTCTCCCTCATTAACATCTTTCCCTGACAGAATGTTTTTGGAATACTCTGTCTCTGTACTGCAGATACTCTGTGTCTCTGCACAGTCTCCTAAATCTACAAGTGACTGGGCTTTGCAAACCAGGGGACATTGTGCACCACTTCTTTTAAAGCCAGCACGCTCTGTGGCTACTCCTTCCCTGCCCGCCGTCTTCGGCAGACATGGTTGATGAGTCAGCAACAGTTGTAAATAGAAACTGTGTGAGGACAATAGGAAGTTTGCCTGTCAAGTCTTTGAAGTTTCTTTGTCATTTGTATCCCATACAAGTCATGTTTTTTGAAATTTCATAAGAATAGAGAGGTCATATCCTAGTATTTGGGGTATCTCACTTGGCTACAGAATACTGAGGTTCACATCCTTTTTCTGACCGGTTCCTTGCAGAAGCAGGTACCTGGTTCTTGCACAGCCTACATTAGTGACCTTCCAGCTTGTCTAAAAATCAGTCTTTGTCCAGCTTTGCTCTAATGATCATAAATTTAATTATAAAAATGGAACAAATCTAACAGGAATAATTGAGACTTAAATTAACCATCATTTTTTAACAACAAAAATTGTCAGAGAACTTGGCCAGATATAACTAAAGAGAATTAGTGAACTAGTTTTAGAAGAGAGGGGGAATTAGCACAGTATCTCGTACTTTGTGAGGGAAAACTTAATTTGCATAAAACATTCTCAAAGCATATGGAATTAGCAGGTCCATTTCCACACGTTGCCTATAAAAGATGCCATATTCTTCCCTCATTTCAGGTTTATAAATAGTTTTGGACAGTTTTGTCACTATAAGTATCTTAGTGTACAGGCAAAGCAACGTATGTAGTGCAATGGACACCTTTGTAAATATAGCTTGTTCCAGCATCCCAAGCAAGATAAATTGTAGGCGCAAAAGCATGCTTCTGCATGGACACTTGAGACTCATGCTGTGCTGGTTGCAAGCATACTACACTGCTGCAGACTTAGCTTCAGGCATGCCTTTTGTACTGTTTCCCCATCATTTGGCTTATATGGAATAAAACATTTTAGAAGGGAAAGTTGATCTTTTGTAAAACCAAGAAAAAGCAACTTTAAAAAAAGAAGGCTTATTTGGCATGTCTATATGGGTTTGTTGTTTTTGAGATCCACACTGCACTGTTACATTATTGACTGTAGAAGTACAAGAGAGATGCATTGCAAGGGGGCTTGGGAACACCCTCACAGCTGGTGTCTTTCTCCCCCAGGAGTACGAGTTCACGGTACTGCCCAACGCTTACATGATCCACATGCCACACGCCCCCAGCTTCGACATCACCAAGTTTCGCTCCAACAAGCAATACCGCATCTGTCTCAAGACCCTGAAGGAGGAGTTCCAGCAGGATATGTCACGCCACTACGGCTTTGCAGCCCTCAAATATCTCACGGCAGAGAACAACAGCTAGCACAGCAGAGTCTGTGTGTGGAAAAGAGGGACGCAGAAGGAGGAGCCGCTCAACATTTGGGGCCCGGTCTTGGAACTTCAAACTGAGAAATACTTTCTGGTTTTATAAAATACCTGCGGTTCTAACAGTAGAAATTTGAAGTGACATGTCTTCGGACTATGCTCCTCCACCCCTTCCCTGACTACCCCGGGCCTTTCAGCTTTAGCATTCATGAGGTGTCAATGAGAGGAGCCGGCCACACGCCTGCCGTGCTGCTGGAGGTGGGGACTCAGCAGGGGCTGGGAATGCACTCTGCTCTCCTAACTGCAGAGCAAAGACAGACCTTCAGAATATAGGATTTCATGTTGCTATTTAATATATGACATGCTTTTTATCTGTAAAGGAAGATCTTCGGGTCGCTGTCCTGTGAATTTCAAATCTCCACTACTCTAAAAGGGAACTTTCACCTGTGAACTTTCACAGGGGCCCTGTTAATATGGATGACCTTGTTAATGCAGGATGAGCCAAAGGTCTGAATTAGCCTTGAAAATGAAGGGGACACTTATAGAATACTGCACTCCAGAGAAGGTGTGTTGCTGGTTTAGGTGTATACATGATATCAGTTGGTCTTTTATTCTCAAAATAGTTATTTTATCAGGAAAATCCTTTATACCCCACCCTGCCCTTTCCCCAGTCCTAAATGCTGCTCCTTTCCTTGACAAGGAAGTGTCTCTCTTGTGTTTCTTTCACATTTTCAGTTCTGGTTGTCCAGTAAAGACAATCAGTAGCTCTGCCAGAAAGTGAAAAAACTTGTCAGTGTAAGGTCTGTTTTCACTGGAGCAACTTGTTTGTGTGTGACTCGTAAAATAAAGGGCCTGACTGTAACTCTTGATCCTTTTTAGGCAAGGATGGATTTTACCTATAAGGTACGTTGTGCAGGCGGTTATTGATTTGTAGGCTCATTTCAGTGCATGCCCATCCATGAAGACACTGGGTCTAGGGCTTTAAGTGGACTTCTTTGCTGAACAGGGATTATAAACATGGCAACTGGTGCTCTCCTGCTGCCTGCTACAAGGTCTCAGAACTACTTCGTTAAAGGAGTTTATAATTAAAAGGAGCAGAACTGTTAGGAGTAAACTCCCCATTCGAGGGGGAGAAAAGAATGTATTAGGAATCCAAGTGTGAGTGTTAGCTTGAACGTGGGCTGGTCAAGTTCACAACTTCGGTACACACAGGAGTATGCTGGAGGGTGGACAGGAATCCTAACAAACAAAATGCAGAAAACAAGACACTGGACTTTTTACCATTTTCTTTATTCTTCAGTATTAATGTTGTGTTTACATGGGATGAAGAGGTGAGATTTAATGCACTACCCCTTGCAGGGCTATTTGTAATTTCTGTTGCAATGTTAATAGGGAACACAGAAACAACTCAGTGAGAAATGCATCTGTCTCCCTACCCCAGATCCCCTTACAACCATGCGTACCAATACCACTGCCTGAGTTGGGAAATGGATCTACATTGCATTCTGCTCACACTTTTTCCCATTTTGTTTTTCACCCACTGGACCTTCTACTTTTCTCCTCACCTCATCCCTCTAGAGTTTGGTTTTATTTCTAACCTGACATTTCATGAGAGCTTTCTGTTACAGTGGAAACCACGCGGTTAAACCAGACATTTAAACTACAAATATCAGTTCATCATGCTGTGTATATATAAGAAAAGCCAAAAAAGGCAACATCTGTGGTAAGAAATAAAAAGGGGCAGGAGGCTATGTGTAATTTTTACGTTTTTTTTCCCTGGGAGTGTTGGCTGCATAACAATACATCACTATATAATTTTCCAAAGTGCTTTTCTTCTGTTCTTAATGGCTTTATGTAAAGATTTACATAAAAAGCTGGGAAGAGCTGGGAAGAAATGAAGCGAGTGCTCAGTCATAGCTAAGATATATTAAAAACAACCCAAAAACCTGTGCATATTGAGAATGAGAAGAACCCTGCAGCACAAAGTCCTCTTAATTAGCTAATGTGCAGAAAGGTATCAAATGCTGATCCTAAGAGAGGCTAACACTCGTTGTACCTACATAAAATCTCCAGTCACATCTTCAGTGTGGCCACCGTTACGTTTCATATGTATTAAAAACTTGCATTTCCAGATGTACATTTCTCCTTGGCTTAACAATATTGCCCATGGACGGACGGGATTGCCCTGCAGCAGCATAACCTGTAGCATGGACCTGTACATTGTTTGGATGTGCCATTATCAACATGAACATTATTCTCTCCCCGGTGGTCGTGAGATGCGGATGGGGGAGCAGGGAGGTAATCAATTGCTACTTGCCTGTCTGTACAGCGAGTCCCGGGACCTCCTGAGTAGGCTTCGGTGAGCTGGCTGGTGTGTAACCAGCTCAAAGATTGGTAGGAGGTTCAAAGAGCCCCCTTTTTTTTTCCATTATAGACACTGTACTGACTTGTATCTGTCATGTCATGTTTGTCTATGTGCTTCATAATTTGGGAGGTGTGGGGCTGGGGTTTTGGGGGTTTTTTTAACATGTTTCAAACTATTTACATAATAGCAAATTAGTATTGCATATCTGTCTGTAACTGCCAGGGCTCCTCCAACACCATGAAAAAACTACCACCGGCAACAACAGAAATCCCCAACTCAGTTATAACACTGACTGTCTTCCAGTCCTCTGCTGTAGTAGGTATTTCCTAGCAACTTTGTTACTTAATTCTTAGTTTTCTTCTGAAGTCTTCAAGAAATATCAGATAAACCTGGTGACTTAATGCCTTTGATTTATTGATTTGTTCCACCAACTTCTCTCTTGAGTCTTCAGTCTATGACCTCTCCTATCTTTGATATTTGGAAAGTGTGAGTCTCTCATTTAGGTATCACTCCAGCACCCTCTCTGGTGAAGACTGGTGCAAATAAATCATTTAGATTCTTGGCAATGTCCTTATTGTCTTTAATTGTTTCTTCTACTTATAGTTGGGGGTGGCCTACCAGTTATGTCCGGTTTTCTGCTTTTGGTGTGTTGAGTAAATGTGTATTTTCAGTTTTAACTTCCTACTATTTGCTCTTCAAATTCCCACTTAGCTGGCTCAAAATCCATCTTAACTATTGCATACCTTCCTTTCAGCTTTACAAAGTTTTGATTTGCTTTCTCTGAAGGTTTTCTATTTGTCCCGAATAACTTCTAGTATTTCCAATTTAATTATACCAGCATTTCCTTGTCATTGTCTTCCATTTATCTAAAGGAATACCATACTCCATGGCTATTTATAAGCTCTTTCCATTTTTAATCTGAGGATTTCAGTTTTTCTTTTCTTTTTATTTAGGGCAGCTGATTCTGCTTTTAAAAGGAAAAAAGAGTTTTATGTTTTTAAATTTTTATATCAAATGTCACCCTGCTAGGTTTTGGGGGTTTGTATTTTCCTCTTTACCTTTATAAATCCTAATCTTTTCCTATTCAAGGGATCAGAAATAAAATCCTACAAAGTTCTTTTGTTCTTCTAATTTGGGCTCTTAATACATTTGGTTTTGTGTCTCCCTTTACCCCTCCGCTCCAGAATGGTGACACATGTGAGTCACTGCAAACTTTTCAGCCCCATAAGCCCCTTCCATCACCAGAACCTGAATAGTGTATTTCCCAGCACCTTCTGACATCCCACCACATTTCAGACATAATTATTATTCCAAATACTAATCTGCTGCCTGGCACCAAATCCTTCTATTTTTGTTTTCATGCTTCTCCCTTTGATATAACAGGCTTTGCAAGTTTAAGTTTTGGGCAAAGCACTTGCCTTTGTTTAATGCCTTATTGTAACCCTCTAATATGTTTTCATTATTTCTCTCTGTTGTCACAGTATATACCTTCAAATGTTTGGCTGTAGTTTCCATCCTATCATTTTCTGGCTAAGAGTCATCTACCATTTGCCTGCCTGGCAGACTGAGGAAATGTCTTTGTTTACCCTGAATAGTCCTTCGTATCTATCAGATTTTTTACCAAGTCCTACTTCGAGTAATTCCTCCTACATTGCTAGTTTCCTATGTGAGCAGTCTGGTTCTACTTCATAATTTGCAATTTTTATTCTATTTGTAATTGTCATCTTGGACTCAGTGACATAAAGGAATTAGCAGCTGTACCTGCAGTTCCTTCACTTTTGCTAGACTCAATATCAGATATGCTCACATTATTCCTAAAGTACTGATTTTTTACCTGGTATGCTTCATGTGGTTTGTATGTAAATCATGAACTGCATTTTCCTTTTACTGCAACACATGGAGGCACTTTGTAGTGTTATTTGCAGTAGACGTTGCAGCAGAGGAAGCCCTGTGTTAAAGGGAAAAGCACAAAAACCTTGTCAGAATTGTAGCTGCTGTTCCTCTCCACAGGGGAAAATACGGCTCTAGCACAGCTGAACAGTTTTATAAATGCCCTGCACAAAACACATTGCACATTATTTTCTGGTAGGTATAATCATACATCGTCCAATTAAATATGAAAAATACATTTTTAATGTTCTCATTTTTACATGCAATTCTATCCAGAAGATAATGTGTTTCCTTCTGTATCTTGCCAGTTTCTCCCATTACTCCAGCCTGCCTAATAGCCCCATCTGTTTTTGGCTCAGAAAGATTAATGACCAGCAGCACTGGGAGTCCTGGCAAATCAGCAGAGATATTACTCTTCAGCATTGCATAGGACATTCCTTCCTGCTCTTCCAGATACTGTCTGGGTGTTCCTCAGTTTTCAGTGCAGCAACAGGAGAACACAGCAAGCTCAGCAAGCAGGGTGAGCATCATTATTTATGAACTTCAACAAGGTCTAATATATTAGATGGCTGGAGTGTAAAAAAAAAAAAAGAATGTGTCATCGTTAGCTCAAAAAATATTTCAGTTTTAGGAAAAGAAAGCAGCTAAGTTTCTACAACTCCAGTAAGTGAAACTGGAACAAATAAGTAATCACTAGTAGACAATGACAGCCAATAACCTAGTATTTCCACTGTAGTACTGAAAATGCAGAAGCATTGATAGTTAAATGAAGTTATTTTTACAGTAGTAATTCATAATGGATATTTAGATGGTATGTTTACATCCAAACACTTAGGTGAATTGGGGATTGTTTGAAGATTGTTACTGTGTTTCACAATATAAAATCAAGTTTGGAAAAGTTTCTGGATATGCACAGCAAATTATGGCTCAGGAAATGCTTACAAACCTGAATTTAGAAATAACTTGGTTTTATAGGAAAAAAATACTGTTTTCATCAGTAGTTATATATTCCCAAAACAAGATACAAAGTCCTTGAGAATTTTAAAAGGACCTATGTACATGTCAGGTAGCTGGAACATTTTCCTCTTATGAATACTTGGGATTTGGGGTTTGTTTGCTCTGCAGAGTAGAATTGTTATGATCAGTTGAAAAAATAATCTGGGAATTAGAAAGCCAGCCAAATATTTATTTGTGTGATGGATCATATGAATGTATTTGTCCAGACATGTCCTCTGTCCTCTGGCACATATGTAGTAAGACATAGTCTCTACACAATCATTTGCTGGGGGTTTTTTTAGATGACTTCTCTGTGCACAGAGTAGATGGTACTTGGAATGAAGCAGCTGGGTGATACCTCTTTTTGCTTGTACTCTCATTGAGCTTTTCATATCATAGCTGTCTTGATTCTGAGCAAAGTCAGACTTTTTCTTTCTTTCTTTGCAGAGGGTAGGTTTAAGCTGTGATTTAGGAAAATCAACTATCCCCCATGCTCTCAGACTTTCTGAGCAGAAGGCCTGCAGTTCTGTTCTACAGGCTTTTCTTGTGTGGAGGAATCCTACAAAGCTGGTGGAAATTACACACTCGGAGTCCTTGTAGTACTCACCCCCAACCTATGAATGCCAACAGCTGAACATGCAAGAGTGTCGAATCCCAGCTCTGTCCAAGCATGTCTGCTCGACGTCTGGGAGCACTCTAAAGGCTGTTGGCAGTCTGTTAGCTAAGCAGTGAAATGATGGAGTAAATAATTGGAGGCATGGCAAAAGCAGCCAAATTTCCAGAGGAATGAGGAAGGCAAAAGCATTCTAAGGTCCCTCAGAAGATCTCTTCATAGGATCTCTGGGTTGGACTAAGCTAATT